GTTCTGCACCGTGCTGCTCCCCACGGGCAGGAGAGCATCCTCATCATCTGCCTAACCCCAAGTCACCCCCCGAAGCACAGAGGCTGCAGGCAGCTAAGTGAGCGGTTTGGCACGAGCAGCCGAGTGAGAGCCAGGCATCCTGGTTCAATGCGGTTGCACCCCATCCTCGCGCCCACCAGAGCCCTCCGTGCACCGGCCAAGCCTGGTGCCACTTCCAGCAGCCCTTTGCTAAGCAAACATGGCTTGTGTACAGGGAAAACCTCCGTGCAACCTTTGCCCTGTGCACGGCCCCACTTAGCACCCTACGAAACGGTGTGGCCCCAAAGACAGGGAGGCTTTGAAAGCAACCCACCATCCGCTTGCTTTTGCAGATGAAAACCCAGCGAGGCGTGCTCAGGGAGGCTGCAGGCGTCAGAGGGGCACAGCTGGTCCAAAGGGAAAGCTGCGATGCTCTGCAGGGATGCCTCCACCCCGAACTCAGCAGCGCCCTGTCCCGGACCTACCGCCCCGGGCATCCGCACAGGGGCTTTTGCCAACCAGCCTCAGCTTGCAAAGGGATGCTGCCTTGGAAATGCAGAGAGGGCGGTCTCTCCCAGTGCAGGATGTCATGCTGCCAACCCTCTGCGGAGCAGTGTTTTCTGCTTTGGAGGGCTTTGCTGCGCGAATGCCAGCACAGCTGGGGCTGCAGGAGCTGCTGCAGCACAAGCAATGCTGGGGCAATGCCTTCCCATCCAGCACTGGAGCCGGGAGCTCAGGGAAGGGGACATTCCCCATGGGGGACACAGCAAAGTCCTCCATAGGAGGAGGAAAACCCCCCAGACTGCCCAGACCAGCTTACAATCTCACCCCCAGATATTCAGATGGGCACTGAAACCCCCAGAAAACCAGGAATGTGCCTCCCGCCCCGACTGAATTTTTATGGTTTTATGTTCTTACGAGTTTCTTTTAGTGCCGCTTCTCCCCAGAGCCCGATTTATGCTGGAGCCAAGATCTTTGCTGTGACCCCATAAAACACCACTGGGAAGGGCCAGTTGGCTCGGCTTCCACAGCAGTCTCTGGAAAAAAAACCTCTTTTGATCAAAAAACTTTTAAATCAAGAAGTGGGAATGAATCTCAGGCTCACACAGGAAGAGTCTGGGGACCCAACAAGCAGCAGTAGTGTTTGGGGGGGCGAGAGGTCTTCCCACAGCCCAAAACAGACTTCGTAGAGGGACCCACCACCTGCATTTCCATCTGAATGCCAATCTGAGGATTATTTTCCTTCTTTTTTCCTTTCAACTCCCTTTTAACATAGATTTTGCTTCCATTAAAGATGGCACAAACCCCCATCGTCCTTACAGAGCACTGCAGACCTGTGGCACCAGGGAAGGTTTCAACAGCTGGAGGTCTGGATGACCGCCCCCACGCAAATCCAGGCGCTCTGCCAGAAAACCAATGTGGTGTTCTGCTCAGTGGCTCTGATAAGGAGATGTCTGCCTCGGCCAGTGATGGCCCTGCAGGGCAAGGAGAGCTGTCTGCAGCTGAGCCAGCCATGGGAGCAGCCAGCGTGGGCACAGAGGGTGCCTGCAGGGAGGGGAGGGTGCGGGGCTCGGGCAAGGCTCGACACTGATGAGCAGGAGCTTCTGCTCAGGGAGCAGGAGGAGAGCACAGAACGGGGGCTGAGCGGCAGCCGGCAGCACGGCGGCATTACTGCCCATCTGAGCTTGCCCACGAGAGGCGCACGGCCGTGCCAGGACAGTCGAACCCAGCCTCAACTTCTTCCCACCCAAGCGCCGCGCATGGACGTGGCACCCACCTGCAGTTCCACTTCTCCAGAGGCTCCGCGGTGAAGTACTGCAGGTCCCTGGGGAAATGGTACTGGTAGCGGCGGGAGACCACCCTGGCGTTGGCTTTCACGGACCAGAGGAGCCCGAAGAGAAGGAGGATGCCGCCAATGCCGCAGCAGAAGAAGCTGACGGAGCGGAGCAGGGCGCTGGAGGAGGAGCTGGGAACTGCCTCAGCTTCCTGGGGAGGCAGGAGGCGAGCCCCGCTGCTGGCCAGGCTGCCCACCTCCCCATCGCTCCACCAGGCAAAGCACAGCGTGCCCGTCACCAGCAGCACAGCCCCGGTGATGGTCACGCCATAGCGGAAAGAGGCAGCTGCCATCCTTCAGAAGGAGGTTTTAGGAGGGGAGAAGAGCGAGACAAGGCATGAGAGAGCCCACGTCCTGCAAGACAAGAAAGGGCCCAGGTTTGAGAGGGACAAGGTCATGGAAGAAGACATACCAGAGAAGGAAACTACTGAGCTAGGACCTCTCTGGGGGTTGCACACTCTTCAGCTACTTATTATTGACCATCAGAAGGGGCATTTCCACCATCTCAGATGGGAGGCCCTCGTGCAGAGCAAAGTCAGCCACCAATTTGGACCCATAAATGTCCCAACAGCCTTGGAAAAAAATCCTCATTTTCAAGAAATGACCCAGTGCTCCCACGGAGGCAGCATGGAAACTTCAGCCGGGGAAGCTTCAGAGGTGGCTCTGGGGACTTGCATAGCTCCTGTCTTTGGGTTTTATTCCAGACTTCCTCCCAAGCTCGGAGGAATACCAGCAGGGTTTCTGATCAAAGCAAGGCTTATGGAAGAGGTTAGGGAGAGGGACATAAATTTAAGATGTCATCGTTTCCAAATTATCAGTGCACGTTTTCTCCTCTGAAACTGAAGGTAAATCAGTCCTCTGGTGACAGTAGGTGTCTGGCATCACTGCTCAAAAGCCCACAGCCCAGGGGATTCAGGGCTGCCCTGCCTCTTGCATTCTCAGGGAAAAGGGCCAAGTACCATCTCTGAAAGTCACAGAGATGCTATTTCAGGGAAAAATCAACCCTCAGATGCCAGCAACCCAGGGTACCTCATCTAGGGCTGGCTCCCAAGATGCTGAGTGAGCAGCGACCCCAAAGAGCTCTCCTGTGACTGATGGAGCCCACAATAGCTGCGCACCCCAACATGACCAAGCTCGGAGCAAGGATGGGAGCGGGAATCACTCTGTATCTCTGTTAAAAGTCAGGAATGTGCTGGATACCAGCTAAACCCTCAGAGAGTGTGTGACCTACTGCTGAAGCAGGTGTTTCTGCTATGCTGGTCAGGGGGTTGAGGCAACAGACCACAGAGGTCTATGAGGGTCTTGCTGACCCAGCTATGATGTCCCATTTCGAGACACTCCAGAAGCACAGAGGAGCTTCAGTTTATTTTGAAGGTGGGATAAATACCCTGACACTGGAAGAGTCTGCTCAGTCTTCATCCAAATGAGCTTTTGCACATCAAATCTTGCTCCCTTGGGTCAGCTCCAGCACACACCTTCTCAGCTCCCCCGCACAATCAATCCCACAGGTGTTATCACCACCTTCACCGTCCCTATCAGGTTGGTTTGGGGGTTGGTTTGACAACCAAAGAGATGAGGCAGTGCCACATGTTCTTGTTGGGTGGCACTTCTCAGCTCAATGTCACATGCTGAGAGCAACTGTCCTTCCCCAGCACAGGAAAATCTGGGGAGGAGGAGCTGGTTCCTGATTTCTGGGGCTCTCACCCTCCCTTGCTTTCTCCAGCAAACAACAAGCATCTGCTCTCTGGGCTTGAGGATCCCCAGCCCCCAACTAACCAAACATCACCAGCAACCAGGGAGGCAGAGAGGTCCCACCACGTCCCCTCTGGCCTTGGTCGCTGCCCAGTAAGAAGATGCAGGTTCAGCTCCCACTTCTTGATGGACAAAAAGCTTTGGACCATGTGGGAATTAAACACCAGCACCCCCTTACAGATTCAATCTTGGGTGACTCCTCTGCGAGAGCTTCTTGTGGTGGCAGTGCCAGTGGAGAGCCTGCACGTTGGGGGCTGTCCAGGACGGAGATGGGGCTCAAGCACAGAGGTGGATGGAGAGCTGGGTGACCCACGCTCAGCCCCCCTCCTCTGCCTTCATCCCTTTGCCTGTACATCAGTAAAATGAAGATAAACTGGTGGCTTTGGTCTCCATTCCTCCAGGCAGGGCTCTCCTCCTACAGCAGGGACTCAAATTGTACCCTGAGATCTGGAAGTGCCAAGCCAGAGCTAAGCAGGGAGCAGAAGTCCAGCACAGACTCGGTGTGATCAAGGGCAGGTGGAATTACGTTATTTTGTGCCATTATTTATCAGATCGGCCCACTAAATGGAAAGCCAAATTACTTCATAGTGAAAGAAACAGCATCTGATCTAATCTACATTTAATGAAGAAATCCGATGAGAAGTGGGATTTAGGAAACCTGGAGGAAGGCCGCAGGACTGGGAGCCCCAACAACACACTCTGGCTCTCGTCCCGCGGTCACGAGCTCAAATCGCCGCCCGGGCTGGCGGTGGCCGGTGGTCCCCACCAGCAGCCGCAGCCACCCACCAGGAAGGAGATGGTGTTTCTGGGCTGAGAGGAGGCAGAGCCTCCCCCCATAACAAGGGGACATGTTTAGATGCTCCCTCCCAAATGGCAGGGAATGAGCAGGACACAGCAGACAAGCTGGGCTCATGCTGCCTTGCAGCAGTAGATGCTCAGGAGAGCACAAGAACCCTACTGACCCATGAATCCAGCTCCTTTTGAGAGCATCACATTTACCTAGAACATTTTCAGCCAATATTATTTGAAAAAAACCCCACAACCCAGAAAACCCTAGAGCGAAGCTCTCCATCCAACTGCATGGAAATTACAGATCACTCCACACTGAAAGCCTGGATTGAAACAGCACCAAGAGTTGAAATGTTCAGCTCCCGCAGTCAACACTGTCCTCATTTTGGGGTCAGCCTGGTGAGGTTTGGGAGATGCTGCGATTCCCCTGGTGAGGTTTGGGAGATGCTGCGATTCCCCTGCCCGGGCACAGGGAATTTTGCAGCCCCCAGCGCTGCGCACATCTGGGAGCGCTGGCAGTGAGGGGGAGGCGGACGTGGAGGGAAGGCGGAGAGCCGCTGGGAGGTGATGGATTGACAGCTTGAGAGAATAAACTCTTCTCTCTTGACAAAGCCAGCGCAGCGCAGGGAGCTCCTCCAGCCTACCCGGCACGTGGTCCCGCAGTGCGTGTGCGGGGGCAGCTCCTCCGCGCTGGGTGACATTGCCATTGCACCGTCCCCTTGCCAAACCCCATCTCAGGCTGGCGCGGCTCTCCTGAGCCTCTCTAAAAGACCCACGATGTTTTTCTCAGCACACCAATCACTGGAAGAAGAGGCTGAAGGAGCAGAGGCGGGAAGTGAGGTGTGATGCTGGGGCAGGACCCGAGTCCCTGCTCCCTGAGCCTGCTCGCGGCTCCGCTCCCGGGGCACTCAGCATCCCGCGCATCAAGTCTCCTGCTGAGCATTTCCAGCGCAGGCTTCCATGGAGGGGCTGCCCCTCCAAAGACAACAATTGCCAGCTCCCAAACACCCGTCTCCACCCGCCAAGTCACCCTGACATTTTGTTCTGCCCCGTCTTCTCCTTTGACCTGCTCTGAAATAGTCTTTCTGGGGAAATAGATTGCATGTTGCATGGACAAACACATACAAATGGTAATAGTTTACATAGTTTCAGTAAGATGCTGAGAATAGCATCCCCCATATAAAGTTATTGCAGATGGTGATTCATAGGGTCTAGTAAGCATTACTCAGAAAAACACTCTTTTCCAGCGAAACAAGAAATGAAAAGAGTTTTGAATCTCTCCCACCGCCATCAAGCAGAAATCCACCTCCACATCCCATCCCTCCACGGTGCTTACAGCCCGTCCTTCCACACCACGCGGGCCGGAGACCTTTAGCCGCGCGCAGACATGCCAAGAGGAACGCCGGGGAGAGATGCGCTGAAGTGCGAGCGTGTCATCAGGGAGATTCCTTCCTGCCTTTACCTGAATTTGCTATTATTATCAGTTATTACTAGTTAGGGGTTTGGTACCCATGCAAAGCATACTAACAATGAAGCTTTCGAAAGAGCATCCGAGAAGCTCGGATC